CTCCTCTTCCTCCTCCTCTTCCTCCTCCTCTTCCTCCTCTTCCTCTTCCTCTTCCTCTTCTTCTTCTTCTTCTCTACTCTCAAAATTCCAAGCTCCAGGTGCAGCATATGCATTCCCCATTGGGTCACTTTTTTTTGTTTTTGCAAAGTCACATTTTCCTGCATACTTGGGAGTCCTCTGAGCATGTGGAGACCGTGGCAGCTCTAGAGAGGTGGCTCTGAGGCAAGGGCCTTCTGGGCTGAAAGATCTCCAGTCCCCCACTTTGGCCTCCTTTTTTAGACCCCCAGCTGCCCACAATCAAACAAAAAAAGGGGGGGCGCAAGCTTTCAATTAAAGATTGGTAGCAGTGTGCTCCCTAAAAGCCTCTTCTTTGGAAACCTGCTAGACCAGGGGTGTCAAACGCATTTGTTATGAGGGCCGGATCTGACATAAATGAGAAACCTTGCTGGGCCAGGCCACGTGTGTCATAGAGTGTAATGCCAGGTAGTTGAGATATAAACTTTATAAAGGGACACAAACACAAAGATAAAAACACGCTTAAAACATTAGCTCTGTAAGCTGCAAGCCTACTTTTGATGTATTGACATTCACCACAGAAATCTCATGCTCAGAGTTCTGAGTCTAGGACCCAAGCTAAAACATGAAATGGCTGCGTGATTAAGAGAGTCTGGCGAAGCAAGCTATGATGCAGCAGCAGCAGCAGAACTGGAAGCAGGAGACGGCCAGTTCCACTGTGGGCCTGATGGAAACCTTCTGGGGGCCTTACCCGGCCCCCGGGCCACATGTTTGACACCCCTGTGCTAGACCACGCTTCTTAGATTTCTGACTTGACAGACAAGACAGAGATGGAGATGAACAATGAAAATGTAGTGAACAGAAAATAAAGCATTTAATAAGGAAAATGTGTGTGGATAACTCGGGTATGAGCCCAGTGAGGCACCTTTGAGACCAACAAAGTTTTATTCAAGGTCTAAGCTTCCAGAAGAAGTGTGCCTGCACACGAAAGTTTATAACCCAGAATAAAACTTTGTTGGTCTTCAAGGCGCCTCAGTGGGCTCAAACCTGGTTCTTTTGCTTCAGACGGCTGCCCATCTGAATCAGGCAGATAAATTAAAGCCGGCTCTGAAATAAAGCAAGTGATCCCTGAGGTGATCTTTAATTCCCCTTTCTCTGTACAGGTTACCTCAGGAAGTTCAAGGCTGCCCTTCTCTCTCACAGGGCACCGTTCCGCAGACACTGCACACACCCGTTAGGAATGATGAGCCCTCAACAGGATGCTAATCTGTACCACCCAACTAATCTTTCTTCCCCAAGATGACCCCCCCAAAACTTAACTTAAAAGCCTGGCTAAGCTGATGCTTCTTTCCAGAGCCACGAAATCCCTGTCCAAAGGGAAGCTTCCCTTCATCCTTCTTAAGCAGAGGCTGGCTGACACCCCTCCCCCCTCCAGTGGAGTTTATTTTTATTATTATATTTGTCTCCCGCCCTCCCTGCAAGCGGTCTCCGGGGCAGCTCACATTTATCGGCAGCATGTGCTGAGTCAGCATAAAACATTTAAAAACAAATTAAAACAATCATTTTGTTGTTCAGTCGCAGTCGAGTCCGACTCTTCGCGACCCCGTGGACCAGATCACGCCAGGCCTTCCTGTCTTCTGCCGTCCTCTGAAGTCCTCTCAATTTCATGTTTGTTGCATCTATGACACTGTCTAACCATCTCATCCTTTGCCGTCCCCGTCTTCTTTGACCTTCAGTCTTTCCCAGCATCAGGGTCTTCTCCAGTGAGTGCTCCCTTCTCATTTGGCGGCCAAAGTATTTGAGCTTCAGCTTCAGTATCTGGCCTTCCAGGGAACAGTCAGGGTTGATTTCTTTTAGGATTTAGGACTGCTTTGATCTTCTTGCAGTCCAAGGGACTCTCAATCATACAATAAACAAATAACGGTTTAGTGCTCGCAATGATGGTCATTCCTTCAGTAAATTAACGGTGGCATGTTAATAGAATGTAGTTCTAAAATCCCGATTCAGTGGTATTCCAGCCTCCCACAATGTGGTTCAATCTACATACAGGGCCAACCCTCTACCATAGATGTTACTAGTAATAATAATTGGCGGTAGTGGTGGTGATGGTGGGCGGCTCCTAGTTGAAAGCCTGGCGGAAGAGCTCCATCTTGCAGGCCCTACGGAACTGTACAAGGTCCCGCAGGGCCCGGATCTCTTCCGGGAGCTCGTTCCACCAGGTCACCGAAAAGGCCCTGGCCCTAGTAACAGCGAGCCTGGCCTCCTTTCTCTGGCAATCACTTGGACTGGCACGAGGCCTCAGTCACAAGGATTGGTTCAGAGCACTGGAAGAAAGGCGGGACTTTTAAGGATGATTGCCAGGGAGACCTTGCCGGTTTATTTGCATATAGTATTTATCAATTGCCGTTTGTGTATTTATTTATTTACTTCATTCGTGTCCCCAGCTTTCTCCACAGTGGGGACTCGAAGCCGCTTACCTTGTTTCCTCTCCTTCATTTTATCCCCACAACAACCCTGTGAGGTCGGTTCGGCTGAGTGTGTGTGACTGGCCTGAGGTCACCCAGCGAGGTTCCACGGCAGAGTGGGAATTCGAACCTGGGTCTCCCAGATTGCAGTCCAACGCTCTAATCGCTACGCTATGTCTCCCTGCTTCTGTCTCCAGTGGGGATCCATAGCAGCTTTACAGTATCATTCTCTTTCATATATGGAGCAATGCAAGGAAAATATCGGTCCCTGCCCCAGTGAATTTACGGCCACATTGTCTGCGGCTGACCTCAGACTCGCATTCGTGGAAAGGATCGTTTGAGCTAGTTGGGTGTTGTGGTTAAGTACGC